TGCACTAAAGACAAGCTAAAATTTTCTAAATTAACCTGAAGCAGAATGCACAAGATTCAGCCTTACAAAAGAAATGGAAATCTTTGATCCTTTATCTTGAATATAGCGGTTTTTAAAGGGGTAGAAAACAGTCTTCTGAAATCTTGATCTTTTGCCTCTGATACCTGAATGGATGATACGTAACAATTTGCTCTGTCCTTCCACCTTACCTTGGCACTGATATGATCATTTCTCCAGTAACAGATCCCTAGAGCTTGTGTTCTGCAAATCAACTTCAATCTGTTTATATGCAGACTTACAAAGAAATATTTAATTCCAGGATCAGTCTGCTGTCTTGCCTTTATTTACTCAGGCATGTGGTAAAAAGATGTTGAAGACTGGCTGTTGACTAACTGGAGCAAACAGAGGTAAAAGCCCTGGTACTAGGTTAGAGATGCATCATCCAAGGATGAAGATTATGGGATACTTTGTAGATCAAGCAGGCAAAATCATGGAAAAAAGGGAAAAAAAAAAAAAAACAGTGAAAAGGGATCTAAGAAAGAGGTATTACAGAAACTGGAAGTTAACTCTTGGGAAAAAAAACCCAGCATACAAAAAGTTGAGAAATTATTTAGTAGTAGGAACTAAATAATTAAGGATTTAGGAACTAAATCTCTGAAAAATATAAAATGTTTCATGATTCACCAGGAAACCCTAATGGAAGGATCCTGGTCTAAACCCCTAGGACAAAACAATAAAAATACCCACACTACCTACAGCTGACCATTTTCGTTATGGTTATGTGGCCAAGTTATGCTCAGGACGAACTACAGATTCCAAATAACACTTCTTTAGATATAAGAAGCCTGAAAGGTACTTTGTAAGCTGTCTGGGAAAACTTCAGCATTATGAGGTGACATATATACTTAAGTTTTGTAACTTGTCCTGGCTACAGGAATAACGAGTGATTGCTTCCTGCAGTTGAAACACATCCACCGAAGATCAGACTGGAAAAGTAATGACGAGTTTTCTGGGTTTCTCAACACCAAAAGACAATTATCTGTTGCTCAAGTAAAGGCAGTTTAAGAGAAAATCATGTAGAGAAAGAGAAAACATCCCTGTGTAGATGGTAGGGGGCTAAGAACAGTCTAGAACATTGATGTGAAAACGTCCAGATAGCAAAGAATGAAATGAACAGTTAAATTTATGTAACCTGCAGTTTGAAAATTCTTTTTTTTTCCTCTCTATTGATCATGATGCACTCTATTGTACAAGATGCACTTGTTAGATGATGATTAGAGTCAAGGTGTGTATGATGCACATTAGGAGAAATTTATGAAAAGAGTTTGGCTTAACATCTTCCTTCAGAATAAATGTAAGAAGGGCAATGAGCTGTTTTCCAGAATATAGTCAGTGAGACAGTAGGAGTTGTATCTGCTGACAAAGAAAAGTGGAGCTAAGTGATCAAAGAGATTTCAATAGCAGCTGAATAGGACATCACAGAGCTGTGGATCTAAAATAGAAGCAGCAATTGAAATATTCAGTATTCAGAAAATATCCAGATATAATGTTAGAAGCCATAGAGCAAAGCCAAGAAGCATTGGGAATTTGGAAGCTAGGAGGAAGATTACTGGAGCTATGTGAAAGTTAGGTGCATTGAGGGGAATTTGGAAGCTGTGGATGGCCAAGATCAAGAAAAAAATGCTAAACTACAGAGTTGCAGGAAAAACTTTAGGGGTTTTATGAAAAAATTTTATACTTTCTCAGTAGGGTTATTCATTTAACAAAATTGTATGTTTTTATACTTGCAGGATAGAACAAGCTTTGGAAGAACAAGATCAGCATTTGAAAACAATAGAATCACAGGTCTCAAAATGCAGAGATAATAGGTTTGGACAGATATGACTGTAATGTTGTCAGCTGCTGCTATTCCATATCAAGGCCTCTAATATTTGCTTTTTACTCTTCAAGCCAAAGTCTGTGAAGACAAGTGATGATAAGCAAATATTAGCTGCTTTTTTAAGGTTTTTAAGGGAGATTATGAGAAAATCTTGAAACCATGACAAAGAAGTACACTAACAGTTGAAAATACACACAACGAAAATAGCCAGAAACTATTTATTTTAAATCTCAGATTTTTCATGACCATTTCAAGACCAGAGACACGATTTGCTAACTAAATGATGTAACTGAGGGCAGAAATTGGTCAATGGACTCTTGCAAATAATGACAGTAAAATGAAGGAACTAAATAGCTTGATATTCAGATTGTATTTCCAGAGATCCAATGGGCACTTTTGTCAGTTCTTTTAAGTCTGGGGTTTTTTTCCCCAACAGAAATTATCCCATAAAAATAATTTTGTAATTGGAAGGGAAAAAGTCAAACAAACAAAAATCCTTACCAATCAGAAGGCATTGTGATACAAAAGCTACTAAAGCCCTGAGTTACTTTGACTTTTTTTGGTGTAATATTTTTTAGTATTATATATATATATATATAATAATATATATAATATATTATTATATATATTTTAAATATATATTTTATATATTTAATTATATTAAATATAATTTAATATTATGCTGTAAGGAGAATCATAAAGTAAGCTGTATGCTTAGATTTACAAAACTGCAGAGCAAAGAAATCAAGATGGGCAAAAATTTTTCAGTTGTATGTAAACCAGAGAATTTCTGATTTCTGCTTCTGATATTTAGAAGTCTCTTATTGTTCCTTGTCTCTCACACCTTTGCTGGAAGTGCTTCCTGTTGCAGGAGCTGGTTCACATATGTTTTCTCAGGTCAAGCTGACTTGTAGCCGTTTCAGTCTTTGTCCTGGCTAAACTGACCATTCCTTCCTGACAACTAGTTACCAGAAAAGAGCATCTTGTTCTTTGCAGATTATTGCAGCCTACATATCAGCCCAGACTGTTTCTAACCATAATGAGATGATAAAAGGAAGAAAGCAATTTCTGGTTGAGAGTTTTAATTTCTCCTGTTTGGCAGACACCTTCCTTATTGCTTTCATTTACCAAAAGAATGTTTTTTTATTTTCTTTAGCAAAGTACAAAGCTTTAAGTGGGGATGGCACTAACTTTTGAATTCTGGTCTGCTACTTTAGTCTATGACCACCAAGGAAAAGATAATCACATTTAGCATGTGAATCACCATAATTTATTTTGCATGACAGCCTTCATGACTAGTTTTAATATGTAATTTCTATATTGTAGCTACTGGATAAACACTATTTAGCTGTTGGGCACAAGAGTCTTAATGGGCCAGAAAGAAATTTGCTTTGCTAAGCCAGCAGATAAAGGAATATATAATAATTATGAGGAACTGGATGCATTAGGGAAAAAAGAGTGGATCAAGACAATCACCAATTTCATTGTAAGGTTCAGTACTGGCAAATATATATTAAAAGACTGTGGGAAATTCAAGTTGGTTTTTTGTCTTTGTTCTGGCTCTGAAAACAATTTTAAAGGTTCTTGTGTTACTGAGTGGACAGTGAAGTATGCTTTTCCTTTATTATGTCATTTTGAAGTCAAATTGCCCTTTTCTGTCTAGCAATGCTGTTAGTTCTGATAAACCTGAGGTCATACTGACAAATTTCCTTTTTCACAGATTTGAAACATGCAGTCTTAATGGCAGCTGTGATGTCCTGTCACAGAGTCTAAACATTCTAGACTAATCAGTACTAAAAATCTCAACAGTGATTTTTAGTACTTATTAGTCAGAAACTAAAAATCAGGACAGTGGGCAAAATTTGGAATTTTGCAAGAAACTCAGAATAAAATGTGGCCTACAAAATTAGTCTTTGAATAAGATGCATTAACTGGAAGAATCACAAGTTTGACTTTGAGATGCTTTATAAACCTTTGGTGCTGACAGTTAAACATATTTCTTTTTAATTGTGTAAAAAGAAAACAGAAAGAGGGCAATCAGAACAGATTCTAGAATTATGCTGTGGCAAGCCAAAATACTTGTATTTCCATAAGCCAAACCCCTTATTTATATTTCCTCTACAATGATGAGATACTTAGCAAGAAGTGTCTGTAATTTGTGCAAGGATCTGGACCAGCAAAGAACGGGAATGATAGAAACCCAACCCCAACTCCCCAACCCAAAACATTCAATTTAGCTTGGGGGTTTTTGTTTGTTTTTTTAATTTTGGTTTTTGCTTGTTTGTTTGTTTTGGTTTTGTCTTTCTTGTTGATGTTGTTTGTTTTTTTGGTGTTTTTTTTTTAGGAAGTTCCTTACTGGACTTCAGGTTCAGTTGAAAAATGTACTAATCAAGAATGGAGTTTATTTAGTCATGAATTATCCTAGGAACAGAACATAAATAACCACGTGTTCAAGAACCTGCTCTTTGAAGAAAATTCTTAAGGCAGGACAACTGAGGTAGTTCTGAAGTCACCTATCCAATGCAATCTATTTATTTGTATACATACAAGTTAAAACAGCTCTACCTGAAAGCAAAGACCTTTATTGTCTTAGTCAATTTTCAGATAGCGCTTTGCATATAAGCATATTTCTAAGCAACAATCGACAAAACCAATCTAATGGAAAATGCATAGCGTTTACATAGACTCTGTCACGGGTTACTTAAGGACAGCTCTGCCAAGTAAAACTAGTAAGACACCTATCTAACCCCACATCAACCTAGCTATAGCTGTATTCGGCTTTTTTCAGCTGCCGGTGTCACCTGAAGTACATATCCCCTAGGCAGCCGAGCGCCCGTGAGGGCGGAGGAGGCGCGGGCAGAGCCCGCCCGAGGAGCGGCCGGGCCGAGGCTGCTCCAGAGGCGCCTGGGGGGGCACGGACCGCAGCGGGCTCGGGACGGGGCGGAGGAGAACGCGGCGGAGGAGAAGGCGGCGGCGGCCATCCCCCCGGCCGCCACCCCGTGGCCGCGAAGGGCCGCCGGCCACACCTGTGCCCCGCGGCGCCCCGGCTCGCCCCGCCCCGGTCCCTCCCGCTGCTGGCGGCGGGGCGGGCCCGCACCGCCGCTATTTGACCCCGCACCGCGCTCCCCGCGCTCCCCGACCGCGCTCGCCGCAGCCCCGACCTGGCCGCCGCGCTCGCCCCGCCATGCCGAACATCGTGCTGTTCAGCGGCAGCTCCCACCACGACCTGTCCCAGCGGGTGGCGGACCGGCTCGGGCTGGAGCTGGGCAAGGTGGTCACCAAGAAGTTCAGCAACCAGGAGACCAGGTGCGTGCCTCTGCCCCCGCTCGCCGCGCGTCCCGTCCCCACGCCCCGCCGGCGTCACGGGCGCAGCCCGGGCACACCCCCGCGCCCGGCGGCTGCCGCGGCGGGGCCCGCTCCGGCGTCTCCCCGGGTCCCGCTCCGCCGTCTCCCCGGGTCCCGCTCCGCCGTCTCCCCGGGTCCCGCTCCGGCGTCTCCCCGGGTCCCGCTCCGGCGTCTCCCCGGGTCCCGCTCCGCCGTCTCCCCGGGTCCCGCTCCGCCGTCTCCCCGGGTCCCGCTCCGCCGTCTCCCCGGGTCCCGCTCCGCCGTCTCCCCGGGTCCCGCTCCGCCGTCTCCCCGGGTCCCGCTCCGCCGTCTCCCCGGGTCCCGCTCCGCCGTCTCCCCGGGTCCCGCTCCGCCGTCTCCCCGGGTCCCGCTCCGCCGTCTCCCCGGGTCCCGCTCCGCCGTCTCCCCGGGTCCCGCTCCGCCGTCTCCCCGGGTCCCGCTCCGCCGTCTCCCCGGGTCCCGCTCCGCCGTCTCCCCGGGTCCCGCTCCGCCGTCTCCCCGGGTCCCGCTCCGCCGTCTCCCCGGGTCCTGCTCGGTGCAGGTGCAGCCGCGGGAGCTCGGCGCGGTGTGGTGCGGTGCGTCCTGCCCGGCACTCGTTCCCGGTTGTGCCCGCTCCCTTCCCCCGCCTGCGGAGCACGAGCACCGCACCGCAGGTGTCCCTGCCGGCTTGTGCTGGCCCAGCTCGGCAGCTCCTTGGCCGGAGGAGGGCTGGCACGGCTCTGGCCGGGTGTGGAGCATCCTCCGTCCTGTGCGGTGGGAATGGTGTTTGCACAGGCAGCCCGTCTGCGACGGCAGGTGCATCCCGCCGCTCGCAGATAATTAACCGCGCAGTTAATCACCTCTGGCTACCTAAGGATAAGAAAAATAGTCTTATAAACTACAGTATGCCATGCAGTTTTGTAAGTAGGTTTGCATACAGGCAGATATAAGAACAGGATCAGATTTTAAAGAGGGTCTAGGTCAAACTGCACTTGCAGAATTTGTTGCAGCTGGTCTTTATTTTGCATTAGCAGCCAGGTGTGTGTGTGTGGTGGATCCATTACAGCTCATGTAGGGCTCCTCTCCCTAGTCCAAGACTGATGGTCATGCATGAGAGTGATACAAGTTGTTGTGATGGCTTTGGCTTACTCCTGATAGTGCAGTCACACCAGTTTCCTAGCCAGACAAACACAGGAAGTAACTGGTAGCAGTGCAAAAAATCCTGTGTGAAACCATGAGGACAGCTTGCTCACCTGGAGTCTGGGAATGTGCTTGCCAATGCTTTTTCTATCAATATTACCTCTCTTTACCAGTGTGTCATCTTAGCTTTATGACCCACCTATTTAATTCTCTCAGTTTTAATGAGGTGACAGTGGTATGTTCACTCCATGAGCTGGTAAGACTGCAGCTGCTTCTCTGTATAGGTATGTGAGTCTAGGCTGCCAGCTGACTCTGAAACACAAGTTCCTGCTGTAAATAGCTGGCTAGTCTCTGAGATTCTTGTGTGTTTGTTTTTATCTGCTCTTGTTCTGAATCTCCTGAAAAAGCATGTTTTGATTGCTTCCTTTGAAAGATTAACATGATGTGTTCTAAAATTGCTCTCACAAAGCTTGTCCTTTTCTGTCTACATTTTTGCATTCTCAGTGCAGTTGCTCTTGTTCTAGTTATGCTCACTGGCATTACTATAAACCCTCTTCCATTGGTGTTTATGCAATCTAATGTTTGCATACTCTAACTCTTCTATTCATTCCTGATAAATGAAAGCTTAAATCTCCTTTCAATTCTTTCCAGCCCCATACTCACTTTATTGCTCTTTGATCTCCTTTCTGCATGATAAAACTTAACTTGTGTATTTGGTTGCATGACTTCCTCGCTAACTTGTCTAATTTTTTTAATGTTTCTTCTCCAGAGACACTTATCCTAATCTGTGCTTGAAACATAGCAAACAGCAGAACTAAATTGATTTAGACTTCATCCAAGGTAGAAATTGATCTCCACAATTTGCATATTTATTTTATAAGATAAGTTAATTAAATTCTGGGCTTCAGGATGCACCTATTTTTACAGGCATGGAATATTCTATTTTTCCTGGTATGGAATCTTCTCTCTACCATTAAAAAGAAGGTAGTGGAGACTGCTACGTGTCAGTGGTTTGGTTAATCTAGTAGTGCCAGTTTATTATTTTAGGCAAATAACGATGTACACATATGCAGAATGTATTTATTAGAAAGATTATTTCTGATTGCTTCTGTTGCAACATGGCAAGGCTGACATTATCTTTTTTATTTATTTTATTCCCTAAACTATAATGGCTTAATATTTTAAACCTTTAAGTGTTTGGATTTTATCTGTTTTACAACTTCCTTCTTTTGAGAGTCTAATCTGAATTTCCTGTTTCCCCTTCAGCAAGTACAGTTGTATCCACTATATAACATTTCAAGTAATTTTTTCAATATTCTTAGCAACTTACTTCAGGATTTTGACTTTCCAGTCTTGTAGACTAATGTTCTTCATAAAAAATCTCCAGCAATAATAGTAAGAGAATTCCTCAACAATGTATTTGAAATTAAACTACAGGTAAAGTTGATACTTATGCAGAGGAGTTCTTTCCTGAGGCATCTGGATTTTCAGTCTTTCTGTACTGTTAAATTGTGTGTATGCAAGCAAAAAATGACTTCTTCCTATATACAGTGACTCCAGCACAGTACTTTTTAAAAAAATTTTCTTCCAATTTTAAATTTATAAACAAGTGTATTGGCATTATGAAATACACTTGCAGTATTGCAGAATACTAAAACATGATAGTTAAAAAGCCCAAAGAACCTTAAACCTTCCAGCAGCAAAATCCCCCATGCAAACAGATAAGCCTGGGCCTGAGGGTCAGACTCTTGTTTTGCCAGATCTCTTAAGTGAGCAAGCTGCAGAGAAGATTTACCTTTTGTTCAAAACTCTGTTTTGCTATTTGCTGCATTCTTGTAAATATAAATGATGTGTAAATTGACAACTGTGTGCAGCCCCAGGCTTAAATCCTTGCACAAGGTACTAGCTGGAAGCCTTTCACTTGAGAGTTGTAATTAGTCTGGCTTGCAGAATAGAGTGAAGGAATGAGTTATTAAATAGTTTGCATTATATTTCAAGTCAAACAGGCTTTAAGTTTAAGTCCCAGTTCTCAGCAGCTGTAAGTGGGTTTGAGAAACTGATGCTGAGGTTAGCCAGGGTTAGGCCCACTGCTGACAAGCACTGTGGTTGAATAGCCAGTGCCTGTATGTTTACAGCTCCAGAATATTTAGAATAGGAAAGGCTTCTCTTTTTTTATCTGTACAGGGATTGGTGTACCTAGAAATAGTATCACAGTCCTCTTCTGAGTTAGGTAATCAATATTGTTTCTGGTTCTGTAGCTGGTAAATGTAATGTCTGTGCTGAGAAAGTGGGAGAAATTGCTGGCAGACTCAATTACCACCTATTTTTTTCCTCCTTCCCTTTGAACTGTATGGAAATGCTTTTCTTTAGCTGGCTACTAAAGTCAGGCAACCCTACCAAATGCAGCACCAGAGCTCCTCAATAAACTGTGGTTGTGGACAATAGCTCTGTTAGTCTGCATAGCTTGTGTGTCAGTTAAGTGCTAGCCACAGTGTCATGGTAGGAACTTGGGTGGCACCACCTTATTTATCTGGCAAAATGATAAGGACTGCAGTGGGGGCTTAGTCAGTTTATCTTCTTCAAACCCCACAAGCCAACTGTCATCAGCAGTTTTGAGGCTGGAGGAAGAAGAAAGGAATGGAAGTCCTTAAACAGGGATGGCTGTTGTAGCCTCAGCATCATGAAACTGTTAGACTGACATGTAACAGATGCATACAGATATTAAACACTCCGAAGCTTTTTGCAAAATTGTCTTCAAATACACTGAGGTGGCATATAATTAGAGTTGCTGTACAATTAAACCCCAGTGCAGATATTTTTGATGAGTCAGTTGAAAAAATATGATTAAATTTATTAGTTTGTAAATAATTTTATTTTCTTAGAAGGTACTCTTCCTTCTCTGAAGATTATTTATTTTAACTCTGCCCTTGATTACTTATTATTCTCAAAATGGAGAAACTACTCACAGATGGCATTCTTTTGCACACATTTTTCGTGGTGAAAGTGCTGTTAGTCACCCATTCCTGTGAGGTTCCTGGCTTCTTGCTGTCAGATTCACTGGCTGAAGTGAGTCTTGTAGATTTTCTTGATCCAAGAGGAAGGGAATTGAAGTCCTGCCTGGCACATATGAATTTGAAGTCTTCCTGCCCTCAGCCTTATTCAGCTGCTGAAGCTGGACTGTTTCAGAAACATCAAATTAAAGTGAATGTCATTTAGCTTTTATAGAAGGAAATATGGAAAGACTACAAAGGGACATTGTCTGCTGTATGGGAAAAGCTGAGCTGTTGATACAAGAGCCATTTTTTTGTGAGTAAATTAAATTGGATGTCGTGGGCTGATATTTGATCTTGGAAATTAGGAAAAAGTAGCTGATGTTTCCCTGGAGAAACCAGGATGGGTTTGAGTCTATATTTTACACAAAGTGGCAAAATGAAATCACCTTGTTTTGTGAAGAAAGTAACTGAAAGACATAAAGAGCAAACCTGGAAACTTACGTCCTAGGGATTTAGAATTTGTCACCTGGCTTTAAGCCTTCCTTCTTATCTCCCCATCAGCATCCTTGTACTGCAGTTCTGTCAGATGGGACATGACCTTACTGCATCTCATGTAACCTGGTTCCTTTGGCTTCAGCTGGTGTGGATCCATGAGCTGTATCACCCTCACTGAGTAGATGGTTTGGTGTTTGCAGATCCCTAACCATGGAATGAGCAAGCTGAGGTCACAAACTGGTGTTAAAATGGCTGAAAACAGTGGGGATTAGGGACACACGGGGATGTGAAGTGTTTCTTCATAGTGCCCAGCTGGGCTGGTTGTGGTCTGCCTCTCTGTGGGGCAGCTGTTTCCTTCTATCCCAGCTTGCTTACAATGTCATGAGCAAGAGGAGGCTGGAGAAATAGATTTTACCAGCGTGATTAAAAAGGTAAAAAATTGTTTCTGGACTGTGCACTGTAGGTGTTAAAGCCTACACAACAGTGTTTTGTTTGTATAGGGAATTGAAGACACAGCAAATATGGCCATTTATTGCACTGTTCATTTCTCTGAATTGGAAAAGGACCTAAATCCTTTAGAGCTTTTGGTTTGAGAATTCTACTTATCCGAACTTGCCATATATGGTGCACTTTTAACTTTGTGTAGATGCTAAATATTTGAAATTAAAAAAAAAAAATCCCCCTCCAAAAAAACTCAAAAAACAAAACAAAACACACCACTTTCCCCACCCCACCCCCTCAAGAAAAATAAAGGCAAGCCAAATAAAAACCCCTGATATATGCAGATAGTAGATGACAGTCCCAGGTGTCCTGAGGTGCAGAGTTTGGTACTCGGCCTTTGAAGAGTTTTTGCACATGTTCAGGCTTGTTAGATGTTTGTTTCCAAATTTTTGAGGGTAGTTTTTTGGACTGCATGTTGTTGAACCCAGAACTTGCTCAAGAAAAAGTGTTTTCCTCTTGTTGTGGCAGGCTGTGTGCCAGAGTGGAGGGTAACAAGATATTTCCTATCTTCTGGTGTTTACCATACCAGTGCTCTGCATTAGAACTGGGCAGTTATTAATGGAGATATAGCAGGGGAGCTGTTAGTCAAAGTGGAAAAGCCTAGAGTTAAGGGGACACCGTGGGTGCCGGGAGATATGGGATCCCTATAGCCTTAAAACCAGCTCTGGCATTTTTATTGTTTCTTTGTTGTTTTGGACTTTGCTGGTACCCACTTTGCTGTATGACATTACACCAGATGAAATATTTTTCCAGTAAGTTAAAACTCTTGGGTTGAAAGACTTTACTCTGGGAAATGTGTTCCCAAAGGTAAGAGGTCAAACACACCCTGCTGCTCAGTGCTTGCCACTGGCTGGGTTTCAATGAGTTGCAAACTCAGCATGTGGATTTGTTTCATCACTTTTGAGATATCGATCCATTTGCACGCCGTATGAGGACTCTAGACCTTCATTTTTGGCCTCTTCTCTGGGTGTTGGAAGGGCCTGAAGTACACATTTACTTTATTAGCATCTAATTTGCTTGAGAAATCTTACTTTTTATAAGCATGGCTAGAAACGTAATTATTTTTAAAAAAACATAGAGCCCTTGTAAGTGTATGATTTGTACACCTTTGTTATGTATTTACATGATTTACCTTTGTAGTCTGGCTCTACATATCTAATCCCCAGTTTCCCCACAAGTGCTTGGTTTTTAGTTAGAACATACAAATTTATAGTTCCCATCACTAAGTTCAGTTGGGACTGCAATATAAATCTAGCTCAAAAGGATCTCAATCTGCAATTACTCCTGATTCTGATTTTTGCTTAATGGATGCTTCAGCCTTTGAAATAAGTTTGTAACCTAACTGGGTTTTATGCTGTATCCTTAATTCATGGTAATTAGTCTATTCAAGTTTCTACTTATTAAATTGAATTCTCAAATCAGGCTTTGCAAGTTGAAGGCAGATACCAACACATCAACTGGGTATTCATCATGTCCTGTCGTATGTGTATCTTTCCCAGCTAGAGCCTTGTGCTTTTGGATGCCAAGCAACTGGCTCAGAGTTAATTACTTTTGTGGGCTATTGATTTTTGTAAATTTCCTTTTTAAACACAATTGTGTGGTGTCAGGGCTTTTAATGTACAGGTTCTGTTGACTCTTCATGAAGAGAAATTTATTTAAACTGTTACCAAATAGCTGAATTTGATTAAATTGCATAAAGCAAACAGAGCTTGTAATCTTGAGGCAAGAGCTTGTTTTTGTGTCCTTCCTCTGTGTCCTATGTGAAATTGTTTAAATAACCTCATAACAGTTAATAAGGTCATTATATAGATGGGGGAATTTAGTAGTAATGTTAATAAGATAACTGTCACAGAGGTTGACTGCAGTTAGCTTAGTATTGTCTAATAGATATTTGAAATGCCTAATTCAAACACCAGATTCTATAGTTTAATAGTCTTTTTTTGGTTGACTGAATATGAAAAGAAAGAAAGAAATTGGCAGCCCTAACTGCCAATTCCCAAAACACTACCCAAACCCCCACCAGTGTGGTTAGTACAGGCTGTATCTGATGGAACACTTGCAACACAATGACTGGTTGTCTTTTACTCTCTGGCTTGGGGAAGGTGAAATAGGCAGCTCTATGTGTATCTCTTTGTTGAGTCCACACAATACCTCTTAACACCAATCTTTGAGATGGTAGATAATAAGAGATACTGATCTGTTGCACAGCTCTGTCTTGTTGACTGGGAAATGTGACTACTCACATTTCTATGTGACAAGTAAGTATGTCATTCTAGCCTTAAAAACATAGCTGCACTTCTTTTTCAAATGCACTAAGAGAGAAAGAAGTAGCATGCTTGTTTTCTAAGTTATGTACAAGTTGATGTTTATTGGTAGCCCAAGATCGTAAGAAAAAAAACCAATTAATGATAATGGAAAAATCATCACTTCAGGTACACTGCGTTAACCAGACCTGTATTTATCTGAAAGTATATTCCTTGACTTTCTGAAAACTGTTATTTTTTAATGATGTGCACAGAAGTGACAGTTTTTAAAAAGAGTGAAACAACTCCAAGTGTTCTTTCAGTATATAGTGAACACTAGGATCATGTACTTCTGTCACTCAGCCAATTTTTTTCCTAGTAATGTTAGACTTAGATGTTCTTTTTTTTTTTTTTCCTAAGTAATAAAATAATTTTTCTTTGGGCATATTCCAAAGGTGTGGTGTGAGATAACACTTATTATAAAGCAGGTCTGTGTAACTGCTGAGACAGGGTGCAATTAGAATTTTTTAAAGCCCTCACAATAACCGCAAAGCCATAATAATGATTGTAGCCATATCTGTAAGCTTGTGAGTAGATATTTCACATGGAGCTGGGTTTGTGTTCAGGAGGGCTCCTACTTAAGCCTGGCTATTTTTTTCCAATCATGTATCACACTTAGTATCTTGCTGAAAAAATGTTATGTTGGCCAAAATTTGTCCAGCTTCAAAAAGGGAAACAAGAAAATATTTCAATCAAAACAGTATTCTTTGAATGGCTTTATTCCACTAATCAAAAACTTAGAGAGGGAAGTAACAACTTTGTGACTAAAAAATTGTGTCTTTGTGGAATGATGAAAGCCTCTGAAAGGTTTCCTGACATATATGCAGATGATGCTGTCCCTGACCACCTCTGTCCTTCCAGACACCTGATGTTTGATGATTTGCTTTCTTTTGACCTTAAAAAAAATCCTGCTAGTAGCATTCCTAGGCAAAAAAATTTATTCAGTTAAGGAGAAAAATTAATATAGGATCTTTGTATAGCTGGTTTGGGGCTGCGGAGAACTCAAATAGAAGAGCTGAGAGCATGTACTCAACTAGATAGTGATAAATCAAATGTATACTTATCATTAAGGTGTTTAAAAGCAGTAAATTCCTTTCTGCTGAAAGCTCAGGAGTCTTACATAGCACCCTGAGAGCTGATAAACAAAACTTGTTAGGACTATGTTGGACTAGAGCAAGCCTCAGCACTGAAGGACCCATTCTACTCACATCTGGGCCATTTGCATGGTTTCCAGTCAGAAACTTCTGCTTCTTTGTGTCGTGGGTAAAGATAGAACCTTTTAAATAAGGGCTCAATACCATTTAATGACTGAGACTAACATAGTAGAGCATGGATTTGCAAGGTTTGATCACTTAATCATTTAGGAAGTCTGTATGTTTTGTGTACATTGTACATGGATTTAGGAAAAAACTAAGGTTTTTCTGTTATATTTATATGTAAGTTTTGGAGTAACATGTGAAAAGTTAGTGTGATTCAGCAGTAGATGTTTTTTGTTGGATCTAGAATTGAGAAGGAACTATGCATTCAACTGTTTTATTTTTCCTGTTTGTTTTTAAGTTCAATTTAGTTTTTGAATTCTGTGATGTGAGCAGTGATTGATCCCAGAATTTGTCTTGAAATCTGTAGAAGAACAAAAAAACTTAGATACTCACATACAGAACCAAAGCATGTAAGCACAGTCAGAGCAAAGAGAACAACTGACATGAGAGTTGAAGCATGATAAGCTGTTGATTAGCAGCCTTCTTAGCTTTTCTGTGAGATTTTTGTCTTTTAAAAATGCTTTACTTGAACATTATGGCATAGCTTTTACAGCTGTTGGTTGGTGCTGACCTGATGAACACAATACTGGCTTATATTTAAATTGTCAAGGAGGCTTTTAGGGAAATCACTGCAAAAATAATCCTCCTCTAAATGGGAAGTTTACAGAAAACCTATGGTAGTTTGTTAAAACATAACTGGATTTTTTAAATTATTATTTTTTAGTAATGCTTTTCCAATCATTTACGTGTCGAACTGATCATCTCCTGCTCTTTCAGTGTAGAGATTGGTGAAAGTGTGAGAGGGGAAGATGTTTATATTATCCAGAGTGGCTGTGGAGAAATAAATGACAACTTAATGGAACTACTCATCATGATCAATGCTTGCAAGATTGCATCATCCTCCAGAGTGACTGCTGTAATTCCATGTTTTCCCTATGCCAGGCAAGATAAGAAAGACAAGGTAGGTAAGAATTGTGTCATTTTGGAAGGCTTCTGTTCAGCTTGCTCACTTGAAATTTTTGGAGATTAACAATTTTCATATACATTTAAGTGATTTGAAAGATTACCCCCTCTGCCATTCTTTTCTCTTGATAAAATATTCAATTATTTTATCCACAAGGAATGAAGTAAGACAATTTTTTTCTGCTTGTGTTTTGATAATTGACATGCCTTCAGTTTGCAAAAGTAGGTATATTCTGTGTATGTGGTCTATTGCAGAGTACTTTGCTAGAAAACTGCATTTTATTGGATTGTAGATCCTGCTTTTTCAAATTTTTTGGGGTTTTAAATCCCTATTAATGTGGCGAGAACACCTTTTTAAGCATTTTAATTGCATGGAATTAAATACTAAATTCAAAATTCTGTAACAATTATGTAGGTAGGTTTTATCTTAGATGGTTAAACAGAGCAAAATGGAATGAACTAATAAAATACACAATACAGAACAGAAATTAACAAAAACATTATTTTAGGCTGCCAGACAGATTAAAAAAAAATCTGTCTGTAATAATTATTTTGATTTATGAAGACAAGAAATTCTATGGAAACCCCATAAATGCTCTACTGATTTTATTGCCTTTTTCCTGAATTTGATCTGTCATAACTGATGAATATATCAGTTCAGCCAAATTGGTAACACAGTAACAAACCCTCTGTGGGAAGTGAGACTGATTTAAAAAAAAAATAAAACTAGACTTTATCTCTACTATATATACAAAAATCTCCTTTGATAGATTATATGCATGGTACACTTAAAGTAAGATCACTTGAACAGAACTGATAAGAAATGTGAGTTTAGCTTTAAAGGTTGGATTGCAATGGTTGTATTTTTTGGAGATTGACTCTCTCCTTTACTTCCTGTAAATGGACTGCCCCCTCTTTTTTACTTTGGACATCAAGCAAACCATTCTGCAAGCCTTCTGTTGATCTTTCTATTCTTTTAGATTAAAAACCTAACAGGAATGAAGTAATGGAGAAGCTAAAAATAATAGCAATTATTACAAAATATGTAATAGTCAGTCTGTGATATCCAAGAACAAAACTAAAAAAACCCCTTATTTTCTGGTATATTAATTATTTAAGTGCAGGCTCTGTAATACCATACTACTACAGTGAAGGTCTACTTGTTATACGTCCAAAAATGGAATTCAGGAATTAAAAAGTAAGATCCTATTCTTTGCCTAATTCTCTTGGTTCTTCATATTTGCTGTGTTTTGTAGTGGATGATGTTTTCGCTTGATCACAAGGGCTGAAATACTTTATATAAAAAGACCTTGAAAGGATAACAGTAATCCTTTTGTTGAAAAGAAGGGAAAGCATCTCACTATGTTTTGATTTCCCACTTCATATTTGGGAAGTTCTGCTGTACCATCCTCTAACTTCACAGCATGGGAGAAGGATGAGTATATTCCAAAATTTCCAAGCATCTCCATGCATGTTGTGTCAAGGGTATCCAAACTTCACGTGGCAGACTTCCAGAGACATTTTAACCCAGCACCCTAGTGTGGTGGCACAGAACATGACATCCAGGAGCATTTTGTATTTCAGAAATGCCATCTGAAAATGAATAGCCTAGGAAAGTGATTTTGATTAATAGATTTTTGAGATTTTTTTTTTTCCCAGAGTTTCACTGAGTTCCACAATTGTAGGCATATATTTTTTTGGTTTTGTTGTTTGTGAGGGCTTTTTTCCCCCTCTGTTTTGCAATTGAGAAAATGTTTGCCATCTTTGGAAATTAACCTTGGTAGTTGACCTCCATGTTGCAAAATAAGCTATAATACAGCTGTCAACATTGGGCAGCTTATTGACAGGGACATCTTCCCTCCTGCTTGCATCAGATCACTTGGTCTTTGACCCATCATGAGTGCACAAGCTTTGTGCTGAAGTGTCAGTAAAGTGCCAGCCATTTTCTTCCAATGATCGTACACAGATCTTCTTCTGTGGTGGAAGACGTTGCTGTAGTTTGCTTGACTATGAACTGAAGCAGTGTCTTCAGTAGATGGATGTTGTTTTCTAGTTTGAATTTAAGTTAGTGATTTTAAATCATTGTGAACTAAATAGACTGAATCCTTGCTGCCTAAAATAACCATGTATTTGTCATACCTCTGATGTAGTTATGATTTCTGAGAACAATGAAAGTGGTCTTCATTTATTCATGTAAGTAAAGGGCCTTGTAGTAAAAATCTTAGTCTGAACAATCTAGTCTACTCTGAAAATTTTAGCACTAAACCTGGACTATCTTTAAATGAGGAACAGATTAAAAGCAAACAAACAAACAAAGGCTTACTGAAAATGATAAAAAAGTCAGTAAATTAATTTAGATTCAGTCAAATGCTGTCCTAAACTAGAATATTTCTGATACACAAGCTAGCTAAACTTAAAAATAGCTCAGGTGTTTCTGTGCTTTGACTGTAACTGCACTTATGCATCCTCTAATTATGCCAACCTTCCAAGCTGTGGGCAGGAAATATTTATGTAGGAGGCTGCAGAGATGCCTTTGAGATAAGTTAGAAGTACAGTGACAGATGAGTTTGGTGTTCTACAGCTCATGTAACTTTGTTTTTTTGATTTGTAGAAGGGGTCCGTGGAGCGTTGGGTAGGTATATTTTTTTTTTTTTTTAATCTAACGCTATGCATTTCCATTAATATGGCCTTAAAGGGTGAAACTTACTGGGTTACATTACATATAACTAGGAACATTTTCAGTTTCACTTCTTGATTTCAGTTGTGTTTCACCTAGGCCATGACAGTAATCCTGTGGAATAACTGCTACAAGAAAACCCCTAGATTCTAGTTTAAAAATTATTTGGATATTCAAGATAATGGCTGTCAATTTCTGAGGCTTCAAAGCAAATCTCATTTTTGAAATTACAAATTTGGGTAATGCATCAGTGAACATTCAGTATCCATACACTTCACAACTGGCTTTCTTGGAAGTGAAAGTTCCAGTTATAAATCTTTGGGCTTTCTTTGACTTTGATTTCCTTTTTTTTTTTTTTTTTCTTTTTTTTTTCTTTTTTTGTTCAGTGTGCATGTGATGAATATTGAGCAAGACAATGTACTAAGATGCTTAAAAGCAACAGAGCTTTGATCTTAATGGACAACTTTTACTTTCAGCTATGTGTCCTTTGCACAGTTACTCTTGTGATGATGTTTATATTAGTTTTGTGGATTCCCCCTGCCACTGGTAATTCAAGTGATTTTTTTAACAATTTCGTTTCTGTGCATAATCTAATACTGCATTTCATACTAATAATTCTGAAAATCATCTAAAGTTACATCAACGAATTGAACAATGAATACTGTGAATCTGTGTTCTTACCTCTCTCATCAGAAGGGAACCTTACAAACTGTTTTATAAGGAAAATCATGAGTTCCATGAAACTTTGTCATTCAAGTCTCTGAATAATGAGGTCAGGTTATCTGGGGTTCCCATGAAGGGAAGTGTCCAGCCTGGAAAGATAGGATAGTACAAGCAGGAGAGCAAACCTATCATTTCAGATTTACCTGTTGGTCCAGCTTAGTGGAGGCATTAACTAGAGCATTGCAAAGAGCTGGTAAGAGAACACTGCAACAGAATGAAAAGAGTAGATACTAAATTTTTTTTTTTTTTTTGTTAGATGTTGACCGAGATTTGAGAGTATTTTTAAGTTCAGCATAAAAATGTCAGGTGCTAAAATGAGCTGAAGTGATCAGGAATTCAAATGGCATGAACAAAAATTTGCTACTAATAATATAAATATCCAGAAAGCTCTGGATAACTTACAGAACTGAACTTAAATGAAGAGCAGTGTGCTCAGTGGAAAATCAACTGTGCTGAGCAGTAATGATGATGAATTCTTCTGGAGCGACATGCATCTGAATTGCAAAGATCCAGGGAATTGCTGGCTGTTGCATCTGCTTTCTGTGTGTCTTACACAGACAAACTGGGGGTGATGTTCTGTGAAACACAACACCCAAAAGGGATGGTTTCCAAAATGAAGAATTTCATTAATGATGGTGATAAACTTGATCTGGCCATAAAATGAGGCTGTGGTATTTCAGTTTCTATTCTGGAAGTGTGTTGTCAATCTGCAGGTTAAAACAGAGAAATGCCCAGTGTCCACCCAGACTAGAAACAGTTTTGATGGAAATACTGGCTTCTTGATAGGACACAGATAGAAAAGCATCCAGGCTAAATTGTCAATGATTCAGCTTATTGTCACTTATGCCCTTGAGCATCAATAGAATGAAAGCAGAGGTGCTCTGTAATTGTGTGTATGGTCTGGAAGGAGAGGAAGTTCCTGGGAGGTGAAATGAGGCTGTTTGACAGGGAGATGTAGCAGGAGAGAATACTGTGCCAGCAGAAAGCAGTCTGATATTGAGATGGAAAATCTGACTTGCAGTTCTGCCTTCATGCTAATGTTATTGCCAGCTATTAGTCTTATTTAAAGATTAGCAAAAGAAAGCAGGAGGTTTCGTTTAGTGTAGAGAAAACTGTCTAGGGAAACACAGGTTTTTACAGAGGTTAAAAAAATGAAAAAACTTTGGAGTACCTAAAAAAAAAAAAAAGTGATGTATCCTCCAGTCATAGTTTCCTTTTTTTGCTTGTTCTGCATCCTTGATGCTTTTAAAAACCTCTTGACATTGGTATTAACTTTGCTAATAAGATTTTTATTCTTTTTTAATTCTTTCTACTTAGTATTTCTTCATCCTCCCCTGTGCCTTTTGGGAGAGTACTAGACTCCTAATTGCATCCAGGAATTAAACATAAATTAAAAAAAAAAAAAAGGGCAAAAGACTCCTGCCAAGAAGGATCTGCTACAAGATTTTACCATGTTATGAAGAAATGCTTGATACTAACTTTGTTTTAAAGCAGTGTTCTCAAAAGTTGGGTTCATTTTGCCTTCAACCTTCGGGTTTTGCAATGTTTCTTAGAACAAGATAGAATCTAATGTTTCTGTGGGGTAGAGAAGTGAAGTTAGATGAAATTTTAAGTAGAAGAATTGGAAAACTATATACCAAATTTTATTTCTTTAATACAAAGCATTATTAGTCAGACTGTGCAAAGTGATTTAGATCTTCCTAAATGCTTTACTGAGTTTCAAAACCCTAGTAACAAGATTTGACTAAAATTCTGAAGCTTTTAATATCTAGATTCCAAATATTGTAAAGGAAAAAACCAAGAAAAATAGCTAATCTTCTTATTGATTGTGTCTAGTAGAAATATTTTTAAATGTAAATGTTTGTGCTTTATTTCTCAGAGCCGTGCCCCAATCTCTGCAAAACTTGTAGCCAACATGCTGTCGGTTGCAGGGGCTGACCACATCATCACCATGGACTTGCACGCTTCTCAGATCCAGGTAACTGTTGGTTCTTACCTGTTGTCCTAGAAGCTCTACCAAATTAATGTGACAAGCTGATAGCAATTCTCTGTGGCTTTGGTCATTATTTTGAAAGGCTATGTACAGAACTGTGAGGGTTCAGAGAAAGTCTTGCTACCTGTTTTGAATGAAGCTCTATTTTAGAAAGAGATCAGTCTTGATATTATGGGGTGATTTTGCAGTTACTTCAAATATTTGTGCATTGGAATTTTGGTAGAATTTGCCAAGTCTAATATAAGAGCTTCCAGAATATAAAATATACTGGCTTGGGGAAAATTCTCTTAATCTTAGCCTTGTCAGAGATTAGAATGTTGCCCTAGGTAGAGTTTTGTTGTTACAGCCAAGGGTGTATTATTTTCTTAAAAGAAATGGAGATGGAGCCTGGCAACCCTTATCTGGCTGACTGCTGAAACCAACAAATCACAAAACCTTTGCCTCAGACACAGAGCAGACATAATTCATCATTCTCATGTGTACTTGTTTTAAGAGAAGTTATTTTTTATAGAAAACACCATATCTTTCAGTTCTGGCGCTCCATTTAATCCGAATTTCTTATGCTAGATGGCTGTCACATAAATAAAAAGGTCTAATCCAGATTTCTTGTTTTTACAACTTGTACAAAGATTCCATTTTAGTTTGAGTCCTCCCCATGCTGAAATACTGCTGTTAATGTTATGCAGTTGAAATTTATGGAAGTTGAGTATTATTCACTGGATGTTTTGAGAGCTTTTTGCTAGCAGGAATTTACCTGAGTGCCTGAAGGTGATCATCTTTTCTGATTCTTATATCAATTGAGAATACCTGTTTCCTTTTTCACTATTCTTGGTTGATTTTTTTTTTTTTTGAGATCTTAATATTTATTTGACTTCAGCAGAATTTGATAGTAGTAGCAAAAGCAGAATTAGACCAGTGTAAAATACTAATGAAGTTCTGCCATTTATGAAAGGCAAAGGCTTGATTCTTTCCCTTTGTCTTCATTCCAGGTAAGATACAAACACCTACTCATGAAACTCTTTTCTCTTTTGGACTAGGGTTTCTTTGACATTCCAGTAGATAACCTGTATGCAGAACCTGCGGTCCTGCAGTGGATTAAAGAGAACATTCCTGAGTGGAGAAACTGTATCATCGTCTCACCTGATGCAGGTGGTGCAAAAAGGTACTATGCAAGTCTGAAACAATTAGATTTACATATAGTTAGTGGTTAATGATCTAGTTTACCTAGTTTTCTATATTCCTCTGTGAATTGTGCAAGAGATAGGGTACGTCACTGATTAATTCAACTGCGTTGTAAAAACAGAACGGGTAGTTCTTCCAATGCTGTTCATGCTTGAAAACATTAAGGAGCTTTCTATGCTCTAAAGAAGATATTTTTCTCTCTCCCTGGCTATGGCCTCATTAGCTGAATCCCTCCACCAGAGGGAAGAGATTTTTCCTGCTGCTTGCTTCTTTAGCCAAGTTGCTGCACCTCTTCCTGCTTCGCTCTGGAACTGCCTAAGCTTCCCTTCTCTGTCAAAGCACATGGCCTATTCCCACTGTACCTGCTGGCATTTAGGTAAGAGCTTGCTTGACTCATATTTCTTTTTAGATTTCCATTATTGAGTTCCAGATGTAAACCTGCTGACCTCAAGTGTTGCATTATAAATACTAGGAAAAGGGAATTAAAGTTTGAGTGGCGAAGGGTAACTTAGTTAATTTGAGGCTTTCTTCATTCACAGCATGTGTTACTCATTTAGCAGACTCTGTTTTATTTGGTATTGATTGAGCATAAACCAATGCCAAAGCTCAGAAGCAGACTGGCTGGTGAGATGATAAAGCATGCCATTGAGGCAAAATGCTTATTCTCAGGTTTTATTGCTCATGCTGCTGCTGCAGAGGGAACAAAGATAAATGAAATAAGACTCCTGTAAGCCAATAGCAATTTAAATGTCTGAAATGTAGTATGAGGAAAAGTGTGAAAAACTGTCATAATTTGATTTAAATTGAAGTCCTTGAGTCTGTTGTGAACATTCATGTTGTAATGATTTTTAGGGAAATAAGACTGAGTGGAACTCCTAGTTTTTTGTTGGTTTTTTTTTTTTTTTTAGATTAATCAAGAATGTGAAGAATATAGAAAGTATTCTAGAAGATTAAAAGATCACTTAGTTAAATTTCTTTGTTTGTTCCTACCAGGATACTGTTATTTTTGCATTTGATTTTTATGTTGGTTTTGTTTTTAACACAAAATGCAATCTTTGCTTAGTATTCAAGTCAGAAGACAGCATTTTTTCCCCTAACAAATATTTTTGCATTATCAAATTAATCATATGATTTTATTTCTTCAAAGATCACTCTCACTGTATTTAATATAGATAGTACAGTCTATTTTAGTGTCTTTCTGTTGCAATACAATCAACCAATTTCTAGTGAAGAAGGGGTAGATGTTGTTTTCAATAAATTCATGGCTTCTCCTTAACCTCCAGTAATAATATGTAAAGAAAATTGTTTGGCCTTTCCATTTAAAATATGTAGAACTTCAAAATAAAACCTAATAAATTATTAGAATGTGAAAATTGAACATCAATTTAAAATCTAAAATTAAAATCTGTACAATCTTAAAAATTTGATTTGTAAGTATTAACTTAAAATCCATTTTCTTGCACTCATTTAAAATGCTTGAATTGTCTTTTGTTTCTTACCACTTGCTTGGTTTTCCCCAGCTTATTAGATGTTGCAACTGAAATAAGGTATGGAAATTCTACTGATATCTTAATGCCTCTGAGGTATTGAGGCTTGCTATGAAATTACACTATCCATAAAAAATTGCCAAAATTTTGGGGGTTTTGATTATCATCCATTTGTTGAAATACAGTAGCTAAAACTTCCATATTTAAGTGATAAAGAAACAAACTCTATTTTTTATTAACCATGCATGTTAATAACCTTGTAAACAACATTCTAGACATAGTCTAAAAAGGCAGGCTGAAAGGTCGCATCAGCATTTAGGAAAAAACATGGAATTGTTTATTCCTGTCTCTTTATACCTAAGAGCTCTATTATTTTAAACAAACTGGAAAAAAGCAATCAGAAGTCTGTAACAAGTGAAGCTTATTATTGGAAGTTTGTTTGACCACCAGAGGTCACCCTGAAGAGTTTTAAAAGGTCTTTGTCAAGCAGATGTATGCTAAGGGAATTATTAATGAAGTAAGCTACTTGATTACTAGTCAAGTACTGTGAAAAGAATTATTAATCACTATTAACTTGTTTGGATTTTTCTCCCTTTGGCTTGGTTTCAAACCCTGCAATGTTATTTTTCAGTTAGAGTGTTAAAGTGCACATTCCCGTAGGCTTAGAATTGACTTCCCCCTACTTTAAATTACCTAGTGTGACTGGTATTGCAGCAGCTTAATAAAACCTTGTGAATAGCTGAAATGTTTTCAAAGCCAGGCACTTAATGACAGAAAACCAAAGTCAACTCAATTAAAAGAATTATTTTTGGAGTATAACTTAAAACACTCTGGTTCATAATTAGCAGTGAATTAAGATTGCTTCTCCCTGTCTCATTCCTTGCAAAAATTTTTGCTGTGGTAGTTTGAAAGCCAGGAGACAAAAAACTCTTGTTTTGTGACAAATACATATGTATGACTGTTTTTTCTTTTAAAATGGTTCTCTAAACATTGTGCATTTCTTCCTGTAACTTAGGGTTACTTCAATTGCTGACAGACTGAATGTGGAATTTGCTCTCATTCATAAGGAAAGAAAGAAGGCAAATGAAGTGGACAGAATGGTCTTGGTTGGTGATGTGAAAGACAGAGTAGCAATTCTTGTTGATGATATGGCTGACACATGTGGCACAATATGTCATGCAGCAGACAAGTAAGTGTTACTATGATCTGTCTCACTATAGTGTTCTCACCACTCACAGCTGACGACTGCAATTGCTCTCAAAGCCTATAACCCAACCTGACCTCTGTAGTATGAAGTCATTCTGACCCTTGAGTTGGTAGGTCACAATTCTGTCATTCAGCTGTGTCCTTATTTAGAATATGAAATTGAGAAAATATTTACAGAAATATATGATCTGTACCTAGTAAGAGCACAGAATAAATAAAATGTCATAACTTGGAAAGGACTTGGGCCATCTCATGCACTATATGGTTCCAAGTCAGAAACAAGAGGTCAAAAATAATTTCCTCCTTGAACCTCATCATGGAGCCTTTCCACTCTCCTTAGGCAATCTTTATCAGAGCTTTACTGGATTTAACACTGTAAAGTATTTTCACCATAGTGTCCAATGTAATATTAGTTTTCACTGTACACCTTAAGCATAAAACTACTTGTCCTTTTTATCTGGGGAGGTGAGCATAAGTTTTCCTGTCTTCTGTCTGAAAGTTGGTTGAAGAGTTCTCATTTCCCTCTTGACTTGAGTAATGAGTTTGTTCAGTCTTTCCACAAGGTTTCTAGACTTCTGTTCAATTGTGATACCTTCTGAATTCCTTCCAGCTCTTCTGCTTCTTGAAGAGGAGCTTTTGAATGTAGAACCACTAGCCTAACTAAAGCTCTAGCAGTGCTAAGTAGGTTTTCCAGGTGTCTTTATGCTGAATCTTTTCAGGTTAATAGTAGGGCTGGCTCATGTTCATCTGGTTCCCAGCCAGCACCCCCAGGTCCTTTTCTACCAGGCAGCTTTTCAGCCTCTCTTCCCTAAGCCTGTAGCACTTCATGGGGTTGTTGTGACCAAAGTTCAGGACCTGGGACTTGGCCATATTGAACCTCAGATGGCCTCAGCCCATTGATCCAGCCTGTCCAGATCCCTCTGCAGAGCTTTCCTGCCCTCAGGCAGATCAGCACTCCCACTCAACTTGGTGTTACCTGCAAACCTTACTGAGGGTGCCCCCACTCTGCTCCTCCAGATCCCTGATAAAGGTGTCAAATGTGTTTGGCCCTAGGGTAACCCCAATAGCCACTGGCTGCCAGCTGGATATAACTCCATTCACTACCACTTTCTAGTCCCAGCCATCCAACCAGTTTTTTACCCAGTGAAACATATACCTGTCCAAGCTACGAGATGCAAATTTTCACAGGGAAATGCTGTGGGAAATGGTATGAAAGCAACAAATGAGTTAGACGTTGTCCTTGGTGGTTTGAAGTAAAGTTAATCTCACGAGTTTATATTTTTTAGTTGCAGACTTGCTGTTTGCACCTATATAGAGGATGTAAAAAGCTCACATATAGTTTTGTGTTTCTTACAATTTTCATGGAAATTTGATGAAATTTTGCAGAGATGTTGTGTAGTTGTTTGCTATCTGCATTCTAATCTACATCATACCTCAAAGTATTCTTTTAGGCCATGCCCTTGAAGATCAAAATCACAAATTGCCTAGCCAACATATTTTTAATAGTCTTGTGCATAGAGGAAATTAATTCTTGTAGAAAACCTTTATTTCTTTCCTGTTTTGAAAGATGTACTCTTTATTTACCTCCAGTACATTTCTAGAGACCATATTCTAAAACTGTCATTCATCTGCAGTGTTCACTAAGAAGGGTGCTTTTGCTTCAGTGATGCTGCCTTGTGTCATGTTCTTGGCATGAACTAGTGCTTCTCATTAATGTCAAACCCAGGGGGGATGTACTTTGTATAATAAGACTCGTGTACCAAAATACGCCTTAGAACTCTTTATGTCTCAGCAACCTAAATGCGTATCAAGCAGATGAACTAAGAAATATCTTTTCAGATACATCAAATCATCTTGATTAAGTAAAAACCGAAGTACACACACTTGGTACATACTCACCCTGTTGTAATGGATACAGCTTGTAGGCTGCAGGTACTAAATGTAGTGCTGAAAAAGACCGGAAAACTTAAGTTCTGTTAAATCATTCAAAATGAGATGATGTTTCTGTGGTTTTGTATTTTTTTCTCTCATATGCTTCCTCCTGTGCCTTTGTGATGATCTGATTGATAAAAGGCTATTCCTCACAGCCTCTGTTACTAAAGCTAGAGAAGCAAGTAGGACATAGCTGAGTATCTGGCGGCATTGAGGCTATTAGAAACTAAATTAGGATATTTTTGACTCATTCACAAGATGTTCTAGCTTTTTGAGTTATACTTTTTTTCCTCCTCATGCATTCACTTCACTGCGTGCTTGGATCAGCAGCATGTCTTCCCATAACCTTGCAGTAAGCAAGGCTTTTAATCATTAACATTTCTTCTTTCTCAGATACTCCTTCCAAGCAGAACTGTTTGAATTGCAAATGAAAATAAAGGTGGAAAATAATGGAGGCACAATGGAGTTGTGAATACTGCCATCCAACCTACTTAATTATTTGCCTGTTAAGATAGAAGGCTTGTATTGGAGTTCATTTTATGTTGTGCTGATATGGTCAGAAGTGCAGCACTGTAGATTAGTATCACTGCTGCAAATATGAACTTTTTAATTTAATTACAATTTTTGTTGGGGATTTGTCTGAGACAATTCAAACTTTTTGAGGTTATACAAATGTCTGAATTATTTTGTAGATATTTTGTATGTAGGACTTCGTAAGTAAAATGTATTTTAGAGATTTTTATCCAGCTTTATCTATAGCCATGTATGTAAACATGCATCACAGCATGCTATTTTTGTGTGTTTTACAGGTTAATGTCTGCTGGAGCTACTAAAGTTTATGCCATTCTGACTCATGGCATCTTTTCTGGTCCTGCCCTCTCTCGGATTAATAATGCATCATTTGAGGCTGTTGTGGTAACCAACACAATCCCCCAAGAAGAGAAAATGAAACATTGCCCAAAAATACAGGTACAGCGGTGTTTTCATGTAATTTCTTTAGACTAGGTATTTGTATTTTACTGCTCACTGGTGCTAGAATCTGTGCCTTGAGACAAAATTAATATTCTTAAATCCATTGTTTACAAAACATTTTGCTAAAACATGTTAAAGAACTGTTTTTAGGGGATTCAGGTAATATAACAGGGCACTTCAGAATATTTTGTATTTGCCACACCTTGAGTATGCTTGATTGTGAAAGAGTGACAAATATAAAATTGACTGGATTTTCCTTTTTTTTTTTAATCAACATTATTTGTACAATATTTGCATGTAGGACCTTAGTTATTCTGTTGAGGAGGCCACAGAAATCTTAGGTGACATTATTTTTTCTTGAAAAACACAAATGGAATTGTTCTGAAAAGTCATGTGTCCCTTTTGGTGGTTTTCCTTAGTATAGAGTGGAGAAAAGCATAAGAGATTGAGGCTTTAAATGCTTTACTGGATTTTTTAAAAGCTTAACATTTGATATTTATTGAAACAGGGCAAGCACTTCAAAAGGTGTGCTTCCTTTAAACTGTGTTTATGTGAAGCAGACACTGCCATCTGATGGCAAGAATAGTAGGGCTTTTTGACAACATGCCCTTTGTCAGAAGTACTCAACAATATGATGTTCAATGATCCTAGTCAGTGCTTTCTTACTTAATTTGAGTTCTTACTTGGTATTATTGCAGTTCTTATGCCTAAGCTTTAATGTTTTATTACTTTCTAGAAATAAAAGCTACAAAGGTAGATGGAATGTTTGTTTATGTGGTTCTAAACTGCGTAGTTTATTGCTCTTGGCATGCCATCAAATTTTTCTTCTCAATTTTTCTTTCAGTTTATTGACATTTCCATGATCCTGGCAGAGGCAATTCGAAGAACACACAATGGTGAATCAGTGTCTTACCTGTTCAGTCACGTCCCCTTGTAACTGCAGGGGATTACACTGCATTTTTGCAAAGGTCTCTTAAGCTAGCACTGTTTTCAACCAGGAGAAATTATCTTTGTACAATTTGAGAGCTTGTATGTTTAATTGTCATATTTGTCTTGTAATTAACATTTGTTCTTTGTAAATGGGAAATAAATCTCCATCTTGCAGAAACCTTATGAATTCTCTTGAGAGTCTGGAAGTCTTATGTGTTGTGCAAGTTTTTCTATGTGCCCGTTCTCACATTCAGCTAAATGCTGCATCAGATACATTTTTATATACAGAACTGCAAACTGTTCCCAGAACTTAACAGGATGTATACGTGTAAGATCATTCTCTGTGTTAAGTTAAATGTTACAGACCTGAGTTCCTTGTATCTATTAATCTGTTGGGCAAACAGCTGGGGGTATTTTGTTTATGTTTAAGTACCATGAACAGTATTTTGTAAGCTCTAACAATATGTAAAGGTCATGTTAATTTTGAAGCACTGTTGACAGATACAGAGTGTGACCTGTTTGATACACTTAATGTTCACTTTTTTCCCCACAAGATATTTGGGGCTGCTGTTTTCTTTTGTAAATCTCTCATCACATTAAATTGTTTGCTTAACATCTATTCTGTAAAGTTGCTATCTTGTGATTGATGTTTCAGTATTCCCAGCATTATTAATATCACTTGTCTAAATAATGACCAAGCTTTAATTGTGAGCAGTTTGGTGTAAATTTCATTTTTTCAATTTTCAATAGTTTTAGACATTCCCTGATTGTGCTGATAGGAATGATTTTATAAAAGCTTTCCTGTTAATGTTGTAAAGATTTATTGTGCCATGTCCAAACAGAAAATTAAACACACTTACACAGACTGGTCTTGTACCATGGTCTGAAAATACAGTTTTTCAAACTGCAGAGTCAATGGATCATCTCCAAATTCCTATTACAAAATACCACAATACTTGACTGTGCAGTGAGTGAACTAGAGTACAGTAACTAATCTTGAATGCTTTACCATTAGAGAATTAATCATTATGAAAACAACTTTTCCTGTTGTATTATAGAACAGCTTATGGTTAAATATTGGTAATGCAGTCAGTAATGGATTAGGGAAGGGGGGTTGGGACTCAAAATTGTAATTTTGTAATTAGTCTTTGAATCCTATTAGGAACTTTTTTCAGTCTTTCTGTTAGAAGAGTAATGTATATTAAAATTTTATCCCTGCACCTAGATCACAAGAACTCTGCTTTCCTACCCAAAATTGCAGTTTTTAATTATAAAAGCATTGCCATACTTGAGAGGTGCTTCCTTGCTATAGTGCTGTATAAAAAAACTCCCTTATTTCATCCAATCTTGCTTATTTGGAGATATATTTTTACTAATACAATGGTGTATTATAAAGTGATTTTTTCCATTCCAGTTAAGGAAGTCTTCATAAAGGATTTTTTTTTTTCTTCTCTGAGACTAAATCTAATTATTCTTTATTTTTTCCCCCAGTAATTTTCTATTGCTTCTGTGAAATACTTTCTTTCTCCATGAAAATAAGTAAAGCAGAATTTCACTTGTACTGCTTTCAGTGATGAATACAGAAATAGAGTATATAAACTCTTGTAGTAAGAATTCAGGTCATCTGCTTATTCTCTGAGAAGTTCCTCATTAGAGTTGAATTTTCAGAATTATGTTACAACAGTGGAAATTAATTTACAGTATTTGGCAAAGAAATTTCTTAAATGCAGTAATACATGATCACATTATTTTGCAACTGGGTTGTTAGACCCCAAGTCTGGGGCCACGTAACTATACCAAGTTTGAACCCAAAAACTACACAAAAGGCATATAATACAATTAATGCACTGTATAAATTCAATTGCTTTATGCATCAGACTGTTAGAAGCAAATCCACTCAACTGCATTTAACAGGATGAGATGGCGGAAAGAACAGAAGTAAAATTGCAGAGCTCATCTTACTGTATGTGCTGCAGCTTGTGCACCCAAAATACTTCTAAAAAGTTACAGGTGACTTCCAACAGCTCTGTGGAAACTGTGCCTCTATTTTGACAGAATTTAAAGCCATGGGAATAGAAAATAATGAGGAGTTTGGTATTTAATTCTCTATGCTCTCTGGTCCATGCCTGGATTCTGATCTGAAGATCTGTTAGTTCAGCCTGGAGGGAAATATTCCTCTCTCTGCAGCATAAAAAACGAAACAAACAAACAAAACAAAAACCCACATTGCATTGCAGAAGTTGAAGGATTTAGATAATATTTTTACATAAACTTTGTATTGACTTGTTCCACTGCCCTAGTGCAAGTACACAGTTTTGGTTTTCTTGGTAAGAGTATCTGATGTTTGCAGCTTTGCTGGAAGCTCTTGTCATGGCCTCCCAGGGGTTTTTAAATGTCAAATGCTCAGAGTCTGGTGCTGAGGTGTTGGACTGTGGGGAGTGAAACCTCAATGTCTCTATTGTACTGAAACGCCCAAAAGAGAACTGAGATAAAGATTCTACTTAGCTGTTCTTTGGGCTAATGTAAAAATGTTAATGCTTTTATAGGCATAATTTATTCTCTTTAATTTCTATTTGGTCTTTAGACCCATGCTCACTAAGGCCCTGAGTGCTTCCTCTGCCCTTGTTGTAGGCCAGTCTCTTCCGATGCTCTCTTCTGTTTACTTTTTTTATTAGTTTAAGTGCCTGCAAATACATTTTTGCAACAGCTAACAGCAAGGACCTTACATTATATACGCAGATAATATGTACAGAAGCTTTAAGGCATCTGCAAGTGATTTTGTTATCATTTCCCCAATTTTGCTATCCATTTCTCTTTTTGGTTCTTTTTGTACATCTGTCTACATCAGTTTGAAGAGTCAGTTTATGTCTTTCAAAGACTCAGCAAGATAGCCGCTTTTCTTGAATAATTTCATGCGTAAATTATGCAATGTTGCACTGAATGTTGTATTGACTATGAATAGGTGGGGTTATATCCTCATTCTTGAAATGAGGGTCAGCACTTTAGAGAGAAGGCATTGCTGCAAGACACTAGGACTGCAAATAAACTACCCAGATGAACACAGTGAAATCCTGATTTTGATAAATAAGTTAAAGTAAGTTCCTCTAAGTTTTCGGGTTTTTTTAAAGACAGAGGGGAGAAAAAAGGAAATGTGAATTCAGCAATCTGATTACAAGCCAACTGATGACAAAACTCATCGATGAAGGACTAAAGCAATTGCAGGTTCCCGGTTTATTTTAAATTACATTCTTTACTCACAGCAGCAGCAATATACATTTGCTCTTACCAGTGGGGCCTCCCCTAACACGTGATGTGTCAGGAAGTACTTTTTTTGGTTTTTGGTTATTTTGTGTTTCAGAGGAGCCAAGAGATTTTGTGCAACTTCTGAAGGAAACTGGACTTTTAAAATCAGTAAAACCAGTAACTCTCTGTGCCTTCAAAAATCAAACTATATTATGGAGTTCTGAACTGCAGTGCATTTACTCCCACCCCTTTTGAAGGGAATTATTGCTGTATTTTGCTTCCCACATTTCATAGGTTTAGGGGGGGGAAGTCAGCAAAAGCATGCTCTGCATTTCTATTAATGTTTAGCTAAACCTGCAGTTTCACTCTGTACAGAATTGAAACTCCTGTGCTCTTAGATGGGTAACAACAAGTTTCTAATATAAAGAAGAATCAGCCTTATTTCAAAATAAAATGCTGAGTGTCTGCCTAGTTATTAAAATATCTGAAATTTGTGAGTTTAGACTGCAAGGAAGTTTTCCAAAGACCTGTGCACCTGTAAAAAATTACTGGTTTGGGTGATTGGACACTGATTTAAGAAACCCACTTGCAACCAAAACAAGTAGATACTAACATCTCATGTTCTGGTGTCACATAGCAGGGACATGGCTGGGTACTTGAAGAAATCAGCATACACAATCCAGCTTGTGTCAAATAATTATCTTTCATAATTAGTTAAGCACATTATCTTTGCTATAGGGTCAATAATATAAGCTATTATAGAGTGGAAGTTATCTTTCCTTTGTTGTGGCATACACAGAGAAATAGCCAGATCAGAGTAGCTAATGTAGAATGTTTGCTAGTGTAGAGTGAAGGTTTTCCTCCTACCAGCAATTTCTTGGATGGTCTTTCTACACACAGCAGGATTTTAGTAAGATTTTTGCATTAGTTATGGTAACACCCAATGAAAACCTCAGTGTTTTTTGAAAAGCAAAATCCAATTATCAGTAAAGAGAAGAAGAATCATTCTGCATTGCAGTACAGGCACAAAGGTGAGAAATATAGTTCTGAATTAATATCTTTGGGAACTAATAAACCCTTTTCTAGGCCTTGATCTAAGTTATACAGCAATGATGCTGTATAACATCCCTATTTCTGTCTATATGACCCAGACACTAAGCACAGGCAATTTGAAAGTATGATTACAAATTCTTTCCCTGTTTATTCTTCAGGTTCCTATCACCTGAAATGAACTTCTCAGCTCCACCCTAGTCAGAGAAATTATAAATTGCAATTTCAAATGTAAAGAAAAATATGTGGAGAAGGAAGGCATGAAAAATCCTATGAACTTCAGATAATAAACATCCTAAAAATTGAACTAGTTTGTTCTGGTGAGCATGGAGGCTTGTAAGCATGAAACTGTCTGAAAGAAACCATGTTCTGTGAAATGCTGGGTTGTCATCAGCATAAGTCTGTCTATGTAGTTTTAAGCTTGGGCCCTTCTACACTCTCCCACACAGTTTTGGCCTTGCTGTGTGCCATTTCCTGTGCCCTTGCCACTATCCTTTTTGTCCTCCTTGGATTTGTTTCCTTTCCCCAAAGTCCCATTCACTTAATAGACATTTCTTCTGTAGAGTATTCAACTTAGAACTGTCCCTGGTCTTGAAGCTATTTTCATCAGGATTGAATGCCAAATAATAAGAATTACTGAACTTCCAAAACTGAACTATTGTTAACATCAGTAACTAACTTCTGTCTCTCTTTTCATGCAGCTTACACTAAACAGAGGGGGTGGGGGAAAGGAGGAACTTGAGCTTCTTCAAATCTTAGTTTAGTCTGAAGTGACTGATTTACGCTTATATAACACATTTTTCTCCTTGAAGATTGAGCTTAAACTCTGTGGCCAAGTATTTCACAATTATCCTTTGGAATTCCCCATGGCTTGGATGTTAACCTTTTTC